ATAGCTTCTTGTCACTCTATGTTCAGTCTCCTCCTAACATCTCATCCATCTTGCTTGCCACTGTCACATTAATCTTCCTAATACATCTCTTTCATCATGTCTCAGTGTGCTGGGACCCCTCAGCAGTTCTGTTTGCCGTGGGATAAAAGCCAAGCACGTAACCCACAAGGGCAGCCTAGCAGCTGCTATTAATTGAACACCTATGACAAGACGGGCACTGTGCTTGGTGCTTTACATGCACGATCTTCCAGAAAACAGTCAATTACCCCCACTTTACAGATAATGAAACTGAGACGCTGCTGGCAGGTTAAGCAGCTTGCCCATGTTCCCACAGTTAGTAGGTAGCAGAGCCAGAATCCCAAACCAGAACCACCTGATTCATGAGACTGGACTGCTTTTCTTAGATCCTGGGCTTCTCTCTTCCAATCATTTCTTCACCTTTTATGACGATACTGAAAGAGCAGTCACCTCTGTGGGCTAGATGTGGAGGTGAGGCACCGCCTTCAACCCAGGATTAGAGTTAGGAAGGCCTGCTGGCTAGAGGGGTGCCCCACGGGAACCAGTGTCCCTCAGCAAGTCTCACCTTGCACTCTGGCTGAGGTTCTTGGAACCCCCTGGCTGTCGGGGACTGGACGACAAGAGTCTCTAATATCATGCTCAGCCCAGAACAGGGGCTCAGCAAGTGTGCACTGGCCCCACAGAAAAGGATGAGTGAGGTCCCAGGGCTTCCCGAGTCCTCCAGTCTGCACGGGTCCAGAAGGAGATGGAGGAGCGTTAGGGTGGGGCCAGGAGCTAGTTAGTCTCTGAGGAGCCTCAAGATCCCTTGGCCAAGTAGGAGGCAGCCAGGAGATAATCAGACGTGTACTTCTGCTCCTTCCTGGAAGTTACTCCTGTCTCTTCAGACCTCCCTGCGCTGCTCAGCCTACCTTTTCAGAGAACCTACTCAAGCCCGAGGCTACAGCCTGTTTCTACTGTGCTGGGGGTGGTGACTGCTCTCTGGGGACTCCCAGAGAACAGTCTGGTAGGAGAGCAGGAGAAAGGGGTCTTCTGCTTTGAACTTCAGGCTGGGAGATTTGCATGTCCTTATCTGTAGCCTTTATTCATTCACTCTGCATTTATTCTGGCTCTACCACGTTCCAAGCATGTGTTTAGGCAGAATAGAGCTTAGGCTGGGAGGGCTGTGAGATCTGGGTCAAATCCTGGCTCTGCACCTTACCATCTGAGTGGCCTAACGGCCGCCTTTGAATTTCATCTCTTCTTTAAGGGGAAAAAAAAGCAAAACTGTGGCTCATACTACTTAATGGCAGGGTTGATGTGAGGTGCAGTAACATGTAAAGAGCCTTATGGTGGCATCTGATGGATGGTAGGCATTTCACCAGTGGTAGCCTGTTTTTAAATTAAGGTATCATTCATGTAGCATAAAATGCACCGGTTTAAAGACTGTACATTTTAGTGGTTCTGAGCATATTCACCGTGTTCTGCGACCATCCGCACTATTTAATGCAGAACTGCCAGCTGTTTTCCACAGTGGCGGCCCCATTTACAGTCCCACAGGAGAGAGCAGGAGTTCCAGTTTCTCCACTTCTCCCAGCACTTGCTATTTTTCTTTCTTTTTTTGATTATAGCCATCCTAGCGAGTGTGAAAGTGGTATCTCATTTCACTTTTGATTTACATTTCCCTAAGGACTGATTATTTTGAGCATCTTTTCATATGATTATAGTTGCAGCCTCCTTTTTATTATTCTTCCATTAAACATTTTTGTTTGCTGAGTCCCTGTTGAAGGTCCAAGTCTAGGATATGGGCCCTGCCCTGAGGCTACTCACAATCCAGTGGAGAAGGTAGATCTTAAAGCAGATCACTGCAACATCGTAAGAAAACAGGCTACAGAGAAGATGTATATAGTAAGTCCTCACTTAGTGTCCTTGATGGGTTCTTGGAACTGCTGCAAAACAGGCTATACCGATACCGATTTTACCATAGGCTGACTGTCATAAACAAGAGTTAAATTCCTATGGCAACTCATCACCCTTATCTTTCTCATGGGTTTTTATCTTGTGTCCCCCAACTGGATCCTTAGTCTCTGTGTCCCCCAGGGCCATGCTAGATATCTGCAGTGTAAATTCTCAGCAACTGTTAAGCTCAGACACAGAGGGAGAAGCTCTGGACCTGGTTATACAGCCTTGGTTCTGACACTGTTCAGGCGATGGCACTCACTTTTGTGACCTTGCACAACGCTGAGCTCTTCTGAATGGGGACCCTGCCTTCGCCGCTGCTGCTGGAGCCCTGGGCCTGACCTCTGGATGGGTTCGGGGACCTCACCATCTGCAACCTCGGTTTCCTCATCTGCATTCTGAAAGGGTCGAAGGCGATGATTTGTGCATCATTCTCAGTTTAAATGTTAGTCTGTGATTCTGAGTGATTGCTTCTTTCCACATCAACCTGATCCTGAGCTACAGAGTTTCAGCCCAGGGACAGCATGGCTTATCATCTCCAGTGTGGTGGCTGCATCTCAGAATCTGCCCTTGAACGTGTCAAACTGAAAAGTTGCCCAGAGCTTGGCCCCAACACATTCAGAAATCCTAACACTTTCCTCTCATCCCTTCCCTTCCCTTCCCCTCCCTCTTCCTCCTCTTCCCACTTCTTCCCCTTCTTTCTCCATCTCTCTCTCTCTCTCTCTCTCTCTCCCTCTCTCTCTCTCTCTCTCTCCCCCTCCCCCCCCCTACACCTCT